TTAGATAAATTCAAACAAGCCAAAAGGTGTAATAAATGCTGTTTTAGACCTATCTTCTTTCTTGATGTTAATGTGGTGGTATGCACTTGTCAAATCCATGTAGAAAAGAATTTATTTCCTCCTCCCAAATGGTCAAAAAGATCATCTTGATTTGGCATGGATACTTGTTTTAACTGTCATTTTGTTTAGTTTTCTATAATCTACACACATTCATAGACTACCTTCCTTCTTTCTTACGAAACAATTGGTGAAGCCAATTGCTCTTGCTTGGTTGAATAACTTTGCTTTTTACCAATTCAGCTATCTGTTGCTTACATTTTCTTGTTTTGAGGAGGCATTCTATATGGCTTTGTCTATATGGTGTTGAACCTGGTTCAAGAGTTATTTCCAAGGGTGGTACCTCTGGATTGCAATATCAAATCTGTCTTCTGCAATAGTTTCTTTATATTTTGCCAGAATTTGGGTAACTTTGTTCTTCATCTCGGGATTTTCTTGTTCAATTGTTGTTGAAGGGTATGTATTTGACTCTCATTCTTTTTCATAATAAGAGGAACTGGGTAAAACCTTTGAAAGATAAGTGTTGTGTCCAACAGGTAATTCTTTTCTGTACCTGGCTGGAGTATAATCTGTCTCTTGCCAAAGTCAAGGGTAGCTCCATTTTGTTGTAGAAAGTCACACCCAATAATACATTGTTGTGTCATGATTTTGTTGATCAGAAAGCGTTGTTTAATAATCTTTTCATTAAAATAAAGTCTGAGAATGATTTCTCCACATATCTCGATGCTATTTCCTGAAGCATCTCTAGCATTTTTCACAGTTTGTTCTGGGAAGGATGCTTTTCCTTGAACTTGTCTTAATACTTTTTTGAAATGAAGATCTGTCACTACCAGAGTCTATCAAGGCATCAAACTTAAAACCAGTATTAGTTTCAAATTGTCCAATAAATGTTGAAGCATTTCGCTCAGATTGTTTGCTTTGTAACAGCTGACAAGTGGATTCGTCACTATCTGAAAACAGAGAATATCTTGAACTTCGTCGTTTTCTGACATGCTTTCATTGTCTAATGTTTCTAATTTTTGTAGCTTAGGTTCTCTTTCAGTATCGTCTTTGCTGGTTGATTTTTCTTATAATACCTATTTGTTGTAGTGGTGCATACTTTTGGACTTTTGGCTTGAAAACTTTTCTTTAGTAGCATTTTTGTTGTCAGGTACATGCTTCTATTCCAGAAATTTGGGTTTCTGTAGAAGCATCTTTTCTGATTACTGGGTCTTTTTGGTCTTTTCTTTGTTGAGTTCCAATTTGACACCATTGTGATCGGTTTTCTTGAGTTAGTTTTAATGAAGTTTCTGCTTGCTTAGCAGCCTCATATAGTTCTGCCAATGTTTGACATTTAGGATGTAAGGTGTACACTAAATGTAGAATATCCTGTTGTAATCCTCTTTGTAAAACTCCATCAGTTTTATTTCTTTCATAGTTGCAAGCAATTGTGGTTCCATTGGTCTAGGTGGAGAAAACCTCTTTATCAATTTCTTTGCTCTATTAACAAACTGAACCACACTTTCGCCATTCATTTGCTTTAAGTTAAGCAATTTCTCCTGATACTCCAAAGGATCTAGATCAAATTCGTCATGGAGGGCTTTCCATATTTCTCACAGTAGGCTCTCCATCCAGAGCCAACACCAAATCCTTTGCAGGACCAGTTAAATAATCTAAAAGATTTGCTTTCACAACATCTTCTCCTATCCAACCATAAGCATAACATGCCTGATTAAAGTCTTCTTTGAATTTTGAACACTCCTTGCTTCCATCATACAACTTGAGAATAGTTCTTGAGGGCAGTCCCAAGCAGCCTTAATGCTTGAATTACTGTTGTGATATCAACATTTGGGTTCTGTGCTGGGTGATGTGTTCCATCTCCATGATCTGTTGGAATTGTGATTCGATTTCTTTTCATTTCACTCACCAATCTATCATAGTCTTCAATTAGTCTTTGTTGCCTTTCTGACATTCCTGCTGGCTGAATTGTAATTGTTGGAGTTGCTGGGTTGAAGGGTTAGAGTCTGTAACTGCCCCAGTGGCGTTTCCATTTCCTCTTCTGCCATATTTACTTTCTCAAAACTTTTGAATAAACCAAAAGAATATCCTGTCGACTGCACCAAATTTGTACTGCTCTTGCTGGCAAAATCTATGCGTTTGCAAGTTATAACAATACTGGTTCTACTCAAACCTTTAAACAAATGTTTAAATTAAAATGGTTTATTCGCAATAATAATACTTAAGCAAGTAACAATATGAGAGTTCGATAGCAGAGTAGATAGTTTGTAAAAGCAGGTTGCCAAATTACCAAACTGTCTTCTAATGTTGAGGAGTAGATGGATGGTTCCAGTGGAGGTTGTTTCCAGATGATTTTCCCAGGTCCTTGGGTCCAGATGGAAGCTGCATGCCAAATGAGAATAATGAGGATTTATATACTTTGAGGTTTGTCTCTGACATCCAATCATCACTTTACAGTTGCCGAAATGTGTAGTTCATATTTATCTTTAGTAACAGGATGTTACAAGGTTCAACATTTAGGAAGGTTAATTGAATTATAACTTGGCCACACCCTAGGCAAGTTAATTAAATTATAACTTGGCCAAACCTTTATTGGTAATTAAAGATGAACCTTCAAGCTGACTAATCAGACTTATGTTTGGCCAATGTTATAGCATTTTCTTGCGTAGGTTTTAAGATGTACATGTATATGTTGCATAAAATAATAGAGTTCAAGCATGTAAAATATAACCAAAGTTGTACAATAAAATAAGTTCCTTTAAATTTGAACAGTGATCTCTTAAATTTTGAAATATTTCTCTTTTAACATTTGACCCAATTGTATTGTTATTCAAATTCAGTTCTTTCAAATGTTGATTACATTTTTTATTAAACAAGGAAGCAAAGCTAAACAATGGTACACTTTTGTAAAAGTCTTCTGTTCTTCTGAGATTGAATTCCATTGCATTCAATTTTTTGTCTGAAATTGCCTTTAGATTCAAAGTGTTTTCTCCAATGGCCAATTTCTTAAATATTTTTTAAATATGTTCTGTACAGGCACTCTTGAATTCTGTATCTGTCTTGAAATCTTGCTCTTAGACATCTTCTTAATTTTCTTTCCACCACTAATTTTCTTACATCTAAGCTATGTATCAGATTCACTGCATTCAGCTATTTTTGTCCATTTGTTTAAAATAGAAATGGAACTAAATATTTATTTTGTTTTAAAAGTTTGATTTGAAAGAAATGAATTGTATTGCAAACTTTTTATATTGTGTTTTGCAAAAAATTAAATGATTAAATTCAAATTTTGATTGACATGAAGATGAAATTTCTGATATAAAACCTTTGGAAATAGTTTTCAAAAATTTCTAAAAGAGAATAATAAAAATTTGTTCTGTTTTAATATAAAAGATAAGCTAAATGAAACTGTATGTCAACCATTTCAATACCATCCTATTGTTTTTCTGTTTTAAAAAATGTTTGTTAATTCAATACTTCCGGTGTGTGACATTTTAGAATTAATTAAAAGATTGTTTCAATCAATATTTGTTCTAAACAAGTTTAACACTTTTTTCTATTAAAAAATGAGAATGTAAAAAAATGATAATATTTTGGAAATATATGCAAATTTTTTAATACTCTATTGATTATTTTATAGGAGAATTATAAAGATATATTACCACAGCCATATAATTCAAAGGCTAATGCTGAATAGAAACCAGTTATTGGGTGTATCCTTAGTGTATCAGCTTCAATTTTCTTGTCAAAAGTCTTTCTATTAGGTATATTCCATGTTGCTCCGACATTTCCATTGAGGATCTTTATGAAAATGAAAAACAAATTATTACTTTTCTTAAACATTAATTTTCATTTAGAACAACTTTTTCTACTTCATTTTCATCTACATAATAATTAAATTGACCTCCATTTAATGAATAAGATAATTTAAAGGTTGTAATATAATATTGCTCATTATGACCATTGCTGCACCAACAATCTCCTCTTGTATCCATGCCATGTATATCATAAATCTCACCTGAAAAATAAATTGATTAGTAAGAATTTGTCTGGAAATTAATTTCCTTTCTCACAAACCTAAATATACTTGTACCCATGCAACTCCATAATTGACTGACATCCATGCTGTAAATACATCTTTAAGTCTGACGTCATATGCTTTTCTACCTCCATGTGGTAAATAATCAGTAAAATATGAATTCGGAAATTTGTTTTCATTGTAAATTCCAATTTTTTTTTGTTGACAATAATTTAATGTTAAGCAATAATTGAATAAATTGAGAATAACAGCTGCCACAAACATCCATCTTATGTTCAAGATAATTAAACAATTCATGCTAAATGTTTAAAGCAAACTTCAGATTGTTACTTTTATATTAACAATACACTTGTGTGAAATTTTCCAAGTTTTGTAAATGGTGAATCAAAAGATTAGCATAAACAATAGAGAGGAAGTACTATTGATTTATGTATTATTGTTCTTGGTATAATATAAGTATGTCAAAGTAATATTACAGGAAGTGTAGTGAAGAGTATTCAAGTAGCATTAATAATTTTCCTATAATCTTTAAATGAGTTTTTATTTTATAAAGCTCCATGTGGAGTGATATATGTTATAATATAACTTACTATTACCAAAATTATATATTCAAAATGAATTGGACAAAAAGTTTAATATGAATATATTCACAAGAAGATTTTGAAATTATTGCATTTTGATGGAAGACTTAGGCAAGCTATAGAATTCCTGTATGTATCCTACATTAATCAAAAACTTCAATACTTGTACATTTGATTCCAAAAATTCACATTGAATTTTTCCTCCATTTTTTTATCTGGATGTGAAATCATTTAACCATAGAAAACAATTATAAATAACAAATCACTGTATAAACAATACATAAAAGACTGTAGACTCTTAATAAATCATTTGTAAATTGTCATATTGCAGATGAGGATTCCAATGAAATATGTGTTATATCAATTAAAACTAAATGTGAACAGCCAAACAAAATTGTAAAATTTCCAATAAAAGTGTTTTGGCAAAGTATTTTAGAAAAGCATTTGCTGACAAGGGAACAAACACATACACAATTTGGTAGATAGGGGAAAAACTTATAAGGAGAACTTTCTAGAAGAACTTATGGAACTTTATGAAAATTATAAAGCTAACTAGTATAACTTAGAGAAATATCAAACTCCTAATTTGATCTTGAATTTATAATAAGAATGTCAATAATTTTTTTAAATTTGTGTGATAAAAAAAATCTTTCCACCATTTTGTTGAGAAACTATTTCCTATTTCTGACTTCCAGTTTAGGTTTCTTACAGAAGATAAATCATTCTCAATAATTTAGGTATTAAAAACATTAATTCTATAATTTCTTATACTTTTTTGTGTTTTATAATTATTAGTTTTTGTATTATCTTGATTATTCCAATGAGAAATTCACTTTGCTTAATTGACAATATTAAATTATTTGCTAAATTTAGATATTGAATTTTTCTTGCACAATACATAAGTTAATTGCCTAAATGAAATTCATTTCTAAATTTTTGTAATATACATTAAGATATTTGAAAATTATTAAACATTCAGTTAACTCCTATTATTCCATTGAATTATATTATTGTTAGTGAATTTGGCAATAAACTTGAATTGAATAACTCTATCTAGCTTGAAATCACATGTATCATCTGATGGTATACACTGATTATCACACAACTCTGGCCAGTTCAGCACCTAGTCTCAGCTTGTACTAAATCTAACATTTCACACAGTTCCAACCTAACTTCCCAATCTTAATCTTGAAAGGAAATGAAATCCCAAATCTTCCTTGTACTGAAATTGTCTACACAAGAAAGGAAAAGAGTAACTAGTCAAAAAGTGGCGAAGAGGAAAAGAAGGGTAATTCCACCATTTAAGATTTTTTCTCTGATAATCCTCCAGCATTTCCTCAACTTGAGACAGTAGGGGATGTCCAAAAGCTAGTAAAGGACATATTGGGAGAGGAGTTGAATAAATTCAAGAAAGAGATAATGGACATCAGCACTCCTTCCACAAATTAAGGTGACTCTACATCTATGATGGAAAAATTGTAGTCCAGTTTTTACAACACCTGTCATCATCTTTATATCAGAAAGTTTAACTATTAAATATTCATTTGGTAAACTCTCATTTGTTGAAATGAAGAATTTTGCCAATACCAGTTGTACTTTTCTGCTGTAGGGTTGTAGGTAAGTACTGGTCACATAGAATCAAATTAGGAGTAAGCCACTTAGAAGGGAGATGTAGAATTGATGGAAAATGAATATAGACCAAATCTTGTTCATTCAGGGCTGAATACCTGTTACTACTTCGCCCTGCTTTGAATCTTAGTTAGAGGAGATGCTGGTGTACACTTATGAACTATATGAGATTATATAAATAATACTTGCTATATAGTGAAAGTGTTCAAGTAGATGTTGCCTCTAGGGTACATGATAATACCAGAATCAACCCCTTTTGTAGGCAAAAGGATAAGATTTTACATAACTAAACATGTTGACAATAAGAGCAAGTGTTTGTTTACATAAACATGATATAACAATTGACCCTCAAGGTTTTACCTACACAAAGCAATTGTTATTTACATCAGTATTGCGTAATTTCATGACCCTTACCCTTTTTGTTGTGAACAATCCTTATCTGGGAATAAGACCTTATTGTTGACACCAAGGACATAAACAACTGATAAGGGAAATTATTTTAAACTTTTTGAAAAGTATAAGATAAAATGTATAAAATAGTATATAGGTCAATTTAGAATCAAATCAAGTACAACATTCATTGTAAAGTAGATATATAAGATATAATATG